AAATACCAGAGATGGCTTGAATAACACAGATAAACTATATTGTCGCAGTCTAGTGTTTAATGTCTTTGTTTTATCATTCAAAACGTTTATATGTTCTGTGTACTCAATTACAGCTATAATAGCTATGCCTTTGTCCATATAAGGGATTTCCTGGAGAGTCATGAGTTCTCTGCTTCTGTGACTGGATGTGGATTTTCTGTGCGAGGGCGCCCTCTGGCGTCCAGAATGAACGAAACAGACATCATGTGTTTATAGTGCTAATGGCCAATCCATCATTTTTTGGGGAATTTTTATTTATTTATGAGTATCGGTTTAGGCACCGATTTGGCACCGGTATCAAAAAAAAAAAAAAACGATACCCAACCCTAGTCTTATGAAACACCTATAAAAGTCAAAATACACTTTATTTTGATTGTTCCCATTGCATATTCATTTGACTCTATAAGCAACCTTGCAACTACATGCAAACTAGCTGTCATTAGAGTATTAGTTGATTGTTGGGTTAGGGTTAGTAGAATAAGTTGACGTAGTCTTTTTAATTTAATTTTTATTTAGTAGCAAAGTCGGCCTTTAAGCCTCTTTGGATAAAAGCGTCTGCTAACTGAATAATGTAAATGTAATTCAAATACTTCACTTGACTTTTCCTGTATTTGTCGGATTTATTTAGCAGTGCTGTCGTATGCAATAATATACCAGAGAGAGAGAGATTGGTCATCTTGTTTACTACTTTAGCTTCATTTTTTTTTTAATTAGTATGGATAATTAAACCTCCTGCCTGTCAATATTTCGCACAATTACAACAGGAAGGTGAGTTTCATATTTAATGCCAATTAGAAAGAGCAGAGGTAATTAAAGCTGCTCTATATCGTTTCATATTTGGACAAACTGAGGTCAGAGTTAATGATTAGAAACACTTCCACACTAACTACTAGACATATAGATGAAAACTACATCAAAGACAAAATGATATATTTTTATAATGTTACTATATACTGTTTGTACTATTGTTCTCAAACATTAGGGTATGTGCTGTTTCAGCTCAGTTTTTAGATGTCAAGAACTTTTGAACCGTTCAGAATTATTAAAATGAATAAAAAATCATTAAAAAAAAAACACTATATTGCTCTTTTGCAACCACCATATTCATAATGGTATCCACAATTAGCAAACCACTTTTTTTGAGTTGAGTTCAATCTATTTTTATTGTTTGAGGGTTGACAGTATTTTATTTATTTATAAAAAAACATTTTGTTTGTGAAGTTTTACAGTATAGTTATTTAAAAATGCATTTCAAACAAAATTGAGTTTTGGAGCTTTACAAGTGTTGTTTGTCAGTGATGAGTGCAGTAAGTATGCTCTGCTGCCCTCTTGTGTTTGGTCCCAAACTTTCACCCTGAATATGTTGATGTTTAATCTTGAAGAGTCTGTGAACATGCCTGACACACAGATGCTGTTTTAGCTGGAGTGATGCAAGAGGACGAAGGAAGTAGGAAATCCTTTAGATTTTCTGCTTTGCCTCTGTTTAGTTCGAGCTAATTGATCAGATGACAAAACTTTGAAGATAAAGTTCGCATGAAGAAATATTAGAATTGACAAAGTTTAATGTTCTTTCCATGTGTTTGAGTCACTGCAATGGAAACGGGCAAAAAATAAATAAATCTATAACCCAAAGTATTACTCCATAACCTAACATGCAGAATGAACCTTTTGTCTATAGATATAATATAACTGCAATTTTTTTTTAAATACCCACATTCTTCAAAATATCTTATTTTATGCTCAGCAGAAGAAAGAAACTCTTACAGGTTTGGAACAACTTGCACACTTATGTGCATGCATGTATAATGAACAAATCAATATGAATTAATGTTGTAAAGATCTGTTGTCCATTGTTAGTTTATGTTAACTAATGCATTAATAATCTAAGCTACTGATGAAATGAGTGCAGTGGTCTCTTGCTTTGTTTGTTTGTTTACCTCGAGCTGTATTGTGTGTGGAGAGACAGCAGAAACAGATTCATCGCGTGTTACTTTCCAGTGACACTCGTTGGCAGAATCACTGACAGGGCAGATGATGGCACGAGGAACAGAACACAAGAAAATAAACGGGTTTTTGACTAAATGTGCTGATGCTCAATGACATAAGGATTATTTGTGTTATGAGAGCATTTGTACAACAACAACACAAGAGCACAAACTCATTCAAACACTCGTTTGCATGTGCATTAGATCTATTGCAAGCAATAATCACAGTGTTCAGTGTTGCCAATTTAGCAATTTTGTAGCTAAATTTAGCAACTTTTCAGACTACCCTAGCAACCTTTTCTTCCAAATGCACCTAACAACACATTTAGCTTTTTTTTATTATTATTTGGCAACTTTTAGCAACTTTTGATAAGTGACTCAAACAATAAAAAGGCACACATTTACCATTTAAATTACACAAAAATAGAAAGATGCCTAGCAGTATACACATCATGCAAATGAATGTAGCTGCTATTTGAAACTGTTTATTTAATAATAATAATAAGTGAATAATTGTTCATTTATGATACACTTTGTTAGTAGCTTGCACTGCGACTGTTGATCAGTTAGTAAGAAAAAGCTCTAGAAAAATGGAAAAGGTACTAGTAGTTTTCCAGGACATTATCCATTGAAACCCTGTAAACTGAAAAAACACAAAATACAATGCGTAATTAAAAATGCATGTAAACAGTGGAAAAATCAATCGATACAGAAAAACACTTCATATCAACATAGTAGATTGTGCCCTATTTTTACAGACTTTTTTTAGAGTGTAGCACACTAACTAACTACACTGCTTAAAAGTATAATTGTTCAGAATGTGTAGTACTAATGCAATCTAATCTAATACATAAAAACTGAAATTGTAATCGTTAAAAAATGTGTACGTTTGTACATGTATTTAAAAATAGTTATTTATATTTTATAATATGCATTTATATTATTTTATGAACAAATCTAAATTAACGTGTAAAAAAAATCTTTTTTTTTTGCTGACATTTGATGCAGTGACACAATGTTGCGTCGTGATTACGTAATGATGTCATCGCACAATGACATCACAGCGTCATTTAGCAACAAACCAACCTTCCTTTAATAACTTCCCCTGAAAATGAGTTGGCAACACTGTCAGAATCAGTTTGAGTGAGTTTTGCTCAGAAAAGGTTTGATTGTCACCCTCAGATCAAAATGTCATTTGGATGGATTGAGCTGTTTTTCAGTCTGATTGATCGGTCAGTGCCTGGATTATTAAGCGTGTCTCTGCAGGAGCTGTGACGGTCCTGTTCTGTTCTTCTGTTTCAAGCCTTTGCAGTGACCTAAATAATGTCCCAGTTTAAAATGAGCTCTGTCTCAGGTGAGGAGGCAGTGACACACAAACGAGTCTTCATCCTATTAAAAACACCAGCCTGTGTTAATTGTGTGAGCTTTCTAATATTGCATTGTAACCGTGTGTTTAATGCTGGATCTCCTTGCATCTTTGAAGACTTTTGCATTGCATTAACCACTGAAGCTGGCTCTACTTGGAAGAAAACTGATAGAAATGCAACAATTAAAACTGTAATGTTAGTATAACCTAATGCTTACTTGCTTTAAAACTAACTAAACGCACTTATTTTTACTGTTGTTTTTAACTGTTGTGGGAGTGCAAAGCAATGCCCATCATTCAGGACACAGATGTTTGAGAGGCTGAGCTGTGCACAGTGAAGGAGTGGACCTAATTTATATATTGGAATATATCAGTTGAATATATCAAACCATCTTTATTTAAAAGTTGCAGCATGTCCTGAGTAAGTCGTTCTCTCAAATGGTGACAGATGCTTCATTTTTTGAGTGATCTTTCCTTTTACGTCTTAATTGTGGCTCTTATGGCTGGTGTTAGGATATCCAGCACATGGAGTTATTTGTAGCAGTCTCTTCAGAGAGTCACTAGGGGACCGATCTGCATCATCTGTATGAGAGCGAATCTGGATTTCATTTCATAATATCTCACCTGCTTCTCACACATCCAGAGAACTTCACTTGCACTGACCTTTTCTGCTGAACATCATGCATGTTTTTTTTTTTTCAAAGGAAGAAATGCAAGCATCATTTTCTTGTCATTCGTCAGATCCTCTGTTGAAGTGATTCGAGTGACAAAAAGGATTTATTAGCATTCACTCTGATCGTTGGTTGGGATCCTGTGGCTATAAAGAGCATCTTCTCCTCTTCAGTGACTCAAATCACACACAGAGAAAGAAGCATTGACGACTTTCAGGTTTGAAATGTTTTTTTAATGTTGCATTTAATGTTCTGGATGCCTTGTCAAAATTTTCAGCAAAGTAGCCTATGTTTAAAGGGGTTCTCTTAACCCCTACCTATTTTCCCAAAATAACCACAAGATAAAGTCAAGATACATTTTTATTGTAACTATGGACTACGTTGGTGATGTAAGTAAGTTTTGTGGGTTATATGAGACCAGTGGGGTCATGAAACATACAGAACATGAAGATGAAAATATGTACACAAATGACCACTTTCACAGAATTTGCATTATATAAATATTATAATATAATTACAATAATTACAATTATTTCAGGCTACTCACATTCAATTACAAATGACATGAATCGCGTAAATCGTTTGTAATTCATAATGGTGAAATCTGTCGAGTAGTTGAGTTAAGAGGTCACTGGATATTATTCTTGTCAATCATTTAAGGTTTCTGTAGTAAAGGAGTTAGTGAATGTTTACAGCTATAATAACCTGAACTGCTGTCAGTTTCTGTGAACAGTGTTTTGATTGGCGTCTGAGTCACTGACGAGCTGCAGGACTGCCGAAGCAGATCAACCTAAACATTTAACAACTTGTATTACAAGTGCAAAATTACAAAGTCATATTTCAATATTCAGGGATTCTATCGATAATCAGAAGATATTTTGCTGTTTGTGTTGGCTATTTTTGTGTGGTGGTCAGTTCACAGCTGTGACAGAAATACACTTTTCCATTAGGGGATGTATTTTTCACCTGAATTGATTTCTGGGGCATTTTTACCTTTTAATCAGAGCTCTGAACTGGTTCAAGGAGCGAAAACAAAAACCGGAAACGAACAAAATATTTACAGGAACATAACCAGAAGCAGAAACGAAATCAAATTTAATCATTCCGAACAGAAACGCTGTATTTTATTATTATTATTATTATTATTATTACAGGCAAAAAAAGTTTAAAAAATAACATTATTAACCAGTATTTTTTGTACTCAAACCAGTGGAATGGTAATAATAAAGAAGCAACACATGAACAGAAACGTTAATCGGGGTGAACCGATTTATTGATTTTTTTTCCCTTTTTAAGCCGTGCTTTGAATGGCAATTTTTTTCTACATTGTAACTTTTAAAATATGGCAATATAGGTCTGTTATCAATCAAATGAAATCCAAATACATAACATCTTTGCACTGCAGAAGCTGCATCTGACGTGAGATTCAGGTATTTTTACACACTGTGTAATGCAGCTCAGAGGTGGCATGAATGCATTTACACTGCAGTTACAATTGCATAAATAATCCCACTAGATTAAGATTGAAAAAACAAGTGTTAACATATGAATAGTTTTTTTTTTTTTTTTTAAATGAAATGAGACTTTAATAAGACACAACAGTTTTGCTATGGGTTAAAACAGAGCAAAAAGCGACATAATAGACAATATTGTGTCTAAATTGCAACTCTGTAAACATCTTGTTTATTCAACTGTTGTATATAATAAATCAACAGAACATTTGCAATTGTGCATATATTCAGGAAAAAAAATACAGCACTCTTTCTCGTGTGATATTGTTATACCATATAATATAAATATAAGTCAAAACCCATACGGGACATTTCCCCCACAACTTGAATGCTGGGGGTATTTTATAATGCATTCATATTTTTATTTAGTTTTTGCAAAGTGAATGACATTGCACATCAGTAAAACAACAATTATAATATTATTACAGACAATACATATCACCAGTGTTGGGGGTGACGCATTACTAGTAATGTGAGTTACGTAATCAGATTACTTTTTTTAAGAAACTAGTAAAAAAAACGGTTTATCATCCTGTAGTTCTGAATCTGAGCTCGATATCAATCACTCTGTAATCAGGTAAAGTCCTGAACAGCCGTGTATTGCCAGAATACAAGAGTGTGGAGTGACAGCAGAGATGAATGGGGTACATGAGAAAAGAGTGCAGCAGATCTCCAATTAGAAACGCTTTATTTGGAAGCGCTCCACTTTCTATATTCTTCACGTCCTTTAGCAGAAGCTTCACGGGTTGCCAGATCTGCGTAACAAAACCAGGCCTTTGGCCAGTCAGAACTAGCCCAGATACCAAAACACAAAACATATCACTCCCATCACTAAAATATTGTAAACAGACTGTGTTTATGATTACTGATATACAGCAATTTTTGTATATGTGTGTGTAGACCTAATGCATTAACAGTGAATGTATAGTAATCATAAGCAGTCAGTTTTCATACATGAAATCAACTGATCTTGAGATTGACTGCTGGTGAACTGAATCTTCGGTGGGGGTGATTATATATTTGAACTATTTGAAAATGAACTATTTACAGTTTACAATCTAATATGTGTCCCTGCAGCACAAAAGCAGTCTTAAGTCGCTGGGGTATATTTTTAGCAATAGACAACAATACATTGCATGGGTCAAAATTATCAATTTTTCTTTTATGCCAAAAATCATTAGGATATTAAGTAAAGATCATGTTCCATGAAGATATTTTGTAAATGTCCTACCGTAAATATATCAAAACTTAATTTTTGATTAGTAATATGCATTGCTAAGAACTTCATTTGAACAACTTTAAAGATGATTTTCTCAATATTTAGATTTTTTTGCACCCTCAGATTCCAGATTTTCAAATAGTTGTATCTCAGCCAAATATTGTCCTATCCTAACAAACCATACATCAATGGAAATCTTATTTATTCAGCTTTCAGATGATGTATAAATCTCAATTAAATTAAAAATGGACCCTTATGACTGGTTTTGTGGTCCAGGGTTCGAAATAAGAAGATATTCCTAAAACATTTTAATCGATGGAAAAGGCTTCTGTAGATGAAATTTGTTTTTAATTTACTGGCAACAAGAAGAAGCACTCAATCACAAATGTTTTGGTTTTCAGCTGAAGTGAAGCTGAATATGACGCGGAGCCCGGCGTCCAGCGAGGACGAGATGGCCCAGAGTGTTTCGGACCATTCTCAGGAATCCAGCTCAGAAAGTTTTAAAGAGGAGGCCATCTATGAGACGATCAGGACACAACAGACTGTCAGCCGAATGACGGACGTCCAGAGCCACTCGCTGGTCATTAGAGTGAATATCCCAGACCTGCAGCAGACAGTGAGTGTGTGTGTGTGTGTGTGTGTGTGTGTGTGTGTGTGTGTGTACCTGGTATTTATCACATTATGGGGACCAAATGACATTTTTGAGGTCCAAGGAAACAAGCTTATAAATCATACAGAATGAGTTTTTTTGAGAAAGTAAAAATGCAGAAAGTTTCCTGTAAGGGGTAGGTTTAGGGGTAGGGTTGGTGTAGGACAATAGCACATACAGTTTGTACAGTATAAAAACCATTACGCCTATGGAGAGTCCCCATAAAACATGGAAACACAACATGTGTGTGTGTGTGTGTGTGTGTG